TTTCAGTTGTCAAATAGGTGTAACATTCTGTTCACCAAACGCGCTTGTTTTACCGAATATCATACGCACGGTATATACATTACGGTGCTTCATGCGACACAGGAGCACGCGCATACGACGTTTCGCGGTAGTTCTGTGTTACGTGTAATACAGAAATGTTAGCAAGCTACGAAGTTTTATCGTGCGAAATGTAACACGATTTTGTATTTCTTTTTTCTCGTGAATGCATGGCGTGAGAGCGGGAGAAAGAGAGGAAGGAAGCGTGCGTGTTGCATACATGTAAATGATCGTTTATGTCATATAACTCTGTATATTTAAGGACAGTTACATATAATACATACTGATGTGAGATCCCGTTTGGATGTTCTTTGTAACTGTAAGTCGCAAGTGTACTGTGATGTACAAAACTCATCGTCATTTCTAACTGTAATCTAAACTTACAATCTCGTATTCATTTCGAAGCTACAAAAGCAAAACTCAGATTCCCCTTCGCCAAAATTTACAGTAAAATCAAAAGAGACCTGTCTAGATTTATCTAGATTTTTTACGTGTCCTTTTTTTTACGTTCTCCTTCTATATGATGATAAATTATCGATTTATTCGACAAATGATAAAATAGAATTAGAGAATATGAATTTTGCTTCCATACTTTATCGGTTTCTTCTTTTCTCTTAAGGCCTGAGTACACATTAATTTTATTTCGGATAATATAAAGTTTAAGAGAGTGCAGTCTAAGAAGAGTAGAGGGAACCTAAGGTCCGTTCTTCCTACGTCACGTCACAGTTTAAGAAATTCGCAGTCGACTCGCCGCGCGCGTGGATATTTTCGTTCGTAAAAAGCATTTTCCTCGGGTCCGTTCTTATTTTACACTCTTAAAAAAATGAACTCGCAAGACGAAAAGAAGAAAGGCCACGTGGTGTTGCGGTCAATGTAATAAAAAGGCGGACCCACAAGTTCTTATTGTACAGATCCAGTACCTTCTCGCGTAAGTGCGAAACGGTTTCCAAGTATAAATAAGCATTTAAAATATTAATTCAGTTCACAACAGTACGCGAAATATACAAGTTAGGTGCAAAAGCGGATAAAAATCCTACCGAGAAGCGCAGCTACATATCGCGAAACATGAATTCTCTAGCTCTGAATAACGATAATCGTTCTATCGATATCGCCGGTCTTAACGAAACAATTATCGAATGTTCTCTTGAAAAATAAATTATGCGATATATACCTAATTGTTTTAGAGAGAAATTAAGAATACAAATCGTAAAATTGTAAAATATAAATTATTGATGACAGTAAAATTGTACATAAATATAAAAATGCGAAGAAATGTATGAGTAAAGTTTAAAATATAATTTTTTATTTATAGTCGGCTCTTCTTGTCGTCTATTAAATTAGTTAGCGAACTTTTCCTTAAGATCGACGATATATATATATATATCTTTTCCATTTACTGACAGTATATATATATATTATATATTACTATGATACAAACGAGATTACAGTCTTCGGGATACAATAATAGTAATAATAAATAACTGATACCGATTGCAAATGACGTTTACGATCTTGTATACAGTACATGTATGTTACATCAAGATGAAAGTACTTTGGAGGCTCTCGCTGTGTAAAAAGTAATAGGAAACGAGGCGAAACGTGTGACTTGACGCGTTTGTCGCGCTGTGTCTCGTTATATTCTCGTAAACATTGGTCAAAATTAACTGACGTTTAATTGATTCTTGCCTCTTTCTTGCTCATTGAAATTGATTTGACTCGAAAAAAATGTCAATTATCGATGAAAATCGTTCAAATAAAGGACCCCGCATTAATTATATGGGAAACTGAGTCCCGGTAAAATGACTTAGTTTTCACATATGATACAGCTGCTACATCACATGTGACAGCCAACTCATTTCAACCGGGATCTAATTTTCCATACTAGTAGCGAGACCTTTAGAAGAATCAATTTCATTGGATTTTCGTAATTAAGCTAAAGAGACGAGGAATCAATTAGATTTCAATTAACTGAAGGATTCTAATGGTCTAACACATTTTTATAAGATCTCGCGGAGGAACTTACTTTAGAACTCTCTTCATAATTATGCACGTTTATTTGAACTAATTTATTTTAACGTTTATTTTAAAGCGGAAGAAACTATACACATGTATCCCCGAGTTCTTACAAAAGCAGGGTCGCACTGAATCCTTCTCAATGTTAATTAATGTTCAGAAACGATACTATATGATACAATAACGAGTTCGATGACTCATCTTTTTGCGCACTGCCAATAAAACAGTATTTCAAGCGCGAAACGTAACGAACCTTTGGACGACTGTTATCTATACCCTCTGGATCTCGAACAGCTTGACGTCCGTATCGTACCATATAGGCGGCTCGACGTTTCTCAAATATATAACGCCCCACATATACGTGCGAAACCACGCGGTCGTGCCGGCGTTGGCCTGATACCGCCTGATGAGGATAGGATGCGGCACTGGCAGCAACCCGACCAGGGTGCCGTGTTGCAGAAACTTCAGGATCTCGCTCTCGTCTGTCAGCCCCCTGTTAAATCAGCAAAAAAAAGTTAGATCAGTAAAAAGAGAACATGTAAGTGTGAACACGATGACGAGTGTTGTTATTTATACGGGAATTCTCTCTAGCGGGATTACGGGCGCCGGAGATGGAAAGCGCTCCGAGATAGACGATCTATGCTATTGTTATGCCACAAAATAAAAACACGCTCGCTCACTTGTCGATGCAGATCTTCTCGACCTGCGGCACGAGAACCTGAAGCAGTCGCATGATGGTCTGCAGCGGGAGCTTGCTCTTCCACTGGTACACCCAGTCGCTGGACGGCACCCACTGGTTAACGTTATTGACATTATTGGTACTCGCTTGCTCGGCCACACGAATGCCACCCTTCTGCACCAAACGAATTTCGATTGTCATTATCGATTGGATTTATTAATCAAATTTTTGTATCGATTTTTGTCATTATTGTACGTTAATGGAGGTTTCATTTCGATCAAGAATACACAATTTCACATCTCTATTCCTTACCGGCACCACGGAATTCTTGGTCGCGTTCATCGATTCTTCCGCGATATCCGTCTTGCTCTCCGATCGATTACTGATCGATTTGCCAATGTCAACGCTGGCTGATGGACTCAGTGGATGCGCCGATTCCTTTTCCGTCATGTTCTCGATACCTGTTAATTCGAAAAATTTATATTTACCTTTAAATTTGAATCTCTATCCACAATGTTATGTATTGTTCTTGAATTTAGATCTATGAATTTAAGTCAGGAGACTAACTCACCAGGAGTCTCCAACAGGGACGCCTTCAGAGTGCCGGGTTCGGCGGGTTGCGCGGGATGCGACCCTTCCATCGCGGCCTCACTGACATTCTCGTTAGACGTGCTCGCAGGCATGTGACGACGCTGCCTCTTACTAAGGGACTTCGCGATCGTGTTGCAATCACTGGGCAGATTCGCGAGCGCGTGGAACACTTGTCGTTTGCGTATTATGGTATAGACTAAGTTACTATTTCCATCAAATTGATACTAAAAATGAAAATCAAAAAGTATGATACGTATGATGATTTAATATTGCTGAAAAAATTGATATATATTTCTAAATCATATACATATGTATTGCAAAATAAAAATAAGACTCAAAATATAATTTTCATTTCCGTCATAGAATTAAACAAGTCTAACTCGTAAAATTAATAAAGAAAAGATTAACACCTCAAAATTACGAAGGAATAACACTACGTAAATTATGCTTTTTTTTAAACATCTTGTGTACGTACGATTGAGAAAAATAGATTGTATATTTAAATATATGTCTCTTGCATGCGAGCGCATTACCTGGATAATATTGTTAAAGATCTCGAGCAAAAAGAACACCAAGTGGTGATTGGTGGGCGCCGAGAAGAGAAACCACGGCGTACTAAATGCCTCCAACAGATGCAGCAGTTTCGTACTGGCCACCATGGACAGTGTTTTAAGGTACGGCGAGACATTGACTAGAATCGTTAGTAGACAGTCGAACAGCGGTTGCAGTCTCTGATGGCCGGTCGTGATGATTTTATGAAATACAGTGACTAAGAGATCGGCGTGTGTACCTGAAATGGAATTAATTACGTTCTGACATTAACAGTCCAATAATTGACAAATAAGTGACTTCACAATCGAAAATACAAATCTACAATCAACCACTATTAAGGTACCTTCTCATTCGAGCGTCATTTGAGAAATAATTAGATTAAGTATACCAAGGCACAAATAATCGGTCTATAGATGTCGATTCGATGTCTATAAACATTGAATCCAATGTTTAGAAACGTCGAATCAAAATCTATGGACCGATCATTTCTGCCTGAGTAGTGACTTCTAGCTTAATTTACAGTTGAATGTATCGCAACTGCAAAAGCGTCATCGCATTTGTCGCCAAATTTTTTGTTCAAAAAAAATTGTTTAGAAGCTCATGCTCTAGTGAGGACCTGAGGACCAATAATAGTAACTGTTTCCAAAGAAAGATTGTTATAAATTATGACGCGTGACACGCGCGTCAAATAACGCGTCCATGAGTAGGTACCTTTACTCTTTTCAATAAAATAAAATTGACAATGTTACACACCTGTAAAAACGGGAATATCCATAGGCACTGTAGCAGTATACGGTTTATTCAGCCTCACTCCGAAGTTACGTTCTCCGCTCAAGAGAAGTAGGATAAATACACCAATGTGCATTAAACCAACTCGTGCTGAAAAAATGAGAAAGTTAAAGTAGACAAATAAATCTAAAAATAATTCATTTAATGTATCACCACTTCTCTAATCAAATCTCGAAGTATCTTAAAGTATTTCATCTCAAGAAATCATCAATTAACATTTTGTTTTATGTATTATTAAAAGAACAACCGAATTAATATTATGCCTTTGTACATATTTTTATGGCATCTTCTCAAAAATATCCAAAATTATGTTAATTTATCTTCAAATACATTATTTTTTATATCTCAAATATTTCAATCTTTTTAAGGACATTTTAATATTGAGGCAACATTGAGTAAATAAAAACTTACATTGGTCAGCACGCGAGTCGTTTAAATGATAAAGAATCGGTACGAGAACCTCAAGGACATCCGAGCTCTTTAACACGTAATACAAGAACTTCTTATTGTAATCACACATCTTCCAGAAGAAGACTAGCAGCTCCTGGTGAAAATGCACTTTCTTGGTCGAGTTCGGCAGATACGTTTGCATCAGTGGATTATTTAACAGTCTGGTGATACCCTTCAGAACAAATTGGAAATCTATGGAAACAAAGAAAATTAATGCATTAGTCTTTTAGTCTTTTTATGATATAATATATTCATCTCCTCATGTTTCTTGTGCTTATATATATTTATTTTTCATTTAGAACTTGATGTAATTAACCGAAAATTTATTTATCGCGAATATAAAATTTTAGGATTTTAGGCTCGGTTGCACCAACATTATTTTGACTTTGCGAAGTTAAAACTCTGTCTTTTTTTAAAACCTTGAGAGAAAGTTTTAAGCCTCGCTTAAAGTCAAAATTTTGTTGGTGCAATCAAGCCTAAGAAACTTAAATTTTTCTCCTTATCTATTTTTAAATATATTTTTCTTTAATTCAAAGTCTAATTATTCAAAAATATAACTAAATATTAAAAACATTACCTTCATCGCGGTGGATTCGACTCAAATAATTGATGAACAAATTGTCTCCAACTGCCCCCTCTTCCAACGGCGCTCCGCCAGTAGTATCATGATCCAAAGTTACGATCAGAATTTGCAACGCGACATCAACCAGCGGTTCCAAGGAGTCGGTGAACAGCAAATGATTGTATGGCACTCCATATCCGACGGGATCGTATGCGCATACCGTGTTCAAGAGCGACGTGAACATGGGTAAAGCGTGTCTATAAGAAATGCAAATAAAATTACTAATTATATTAAAAATATAGTGACGTGGTCAAACATTCCATTATTTCAAACTATTTAAGTTATTTCCTACAAATTACAATCTACATATTTAAATTTATTACATAAAATATATTGCCCAATAATTGTAAATCTCGTATACAAAAGTGCAAATAATATAAATATAATTAAAAAATAAACATATATTATGCCCGCTTATAAATTGAAATAATTAAACGAAATAAATCACCTGTTTTCACTGCTAGTCAAATGCTGAATCCATTTGTTCGGCGTAATCGACAGATCCATCGGCGGATTGTACATGGTTTCGCTAAAGCATGTCAACAAGAGCTTCAGCAATTCCGTACGGTTGGAATCTAGGACGGGGTGTCTAGGTGGCGAATACGCGAAGCCCACTCCCGCTTCCCAGATGTATTCGCAGCTGTCTATCGACTGTAACTCATCGGCTTTGTCCTGGAAAGATATTACGAGCCGTTAACACGTTCCGCGCGTCTTAACTCTTCGAAACTCCGATAAGCTAACGGAGACTCACCGGACCGGATTTCCTGTTTGCAGCTACGGTGAAGTCAGGACAAAACAACAAATCCTAAAACAGAGATGGATTTCAAACTGTGTTACTGTCTTGTAGACTGTAGGATGTATAAGTTATTTAAGATATTATACTCTCATATTTTGTATATAAAATATTGAATCAATAACTGATTATTAAGTAACATAATTTTATTACTAATAAATTATAAAATTGCTAAATTTACTTAACATAAACATTTTATATGAAAACTGTGACCATTGTCAAGATAACAAAATGTACATGTTTCCTTAAAAGCATTCTTTTCCAATATCTAAGATATTCTAAGATAACAATAAGTATGCTTTTCTAAGATCAAGAATAAACCCTAAAAGCATTTTTCCGATAAATAAGAATACTAGGTATTTTTCGATAATTCGCTAGCCCTAAGAATTTTTCATATCTCTATTTTTCTGATATAAATAAAGGACCCTACAGCGGCAGTTCATGGAGACCGAGTAAGCACGTCATGTAACAACACGCGAGTAAGTTGTAATACGAAATTATTGTCGACTAAAGTTATTTTTATACAGTGATAATTCTCGCGAATCTTACAAACATTCAATGCGTCATGTATCTTTACTTTAAATATCTCTTACACAAAGCGCGTTCAGTAGAGAATGCGCCAGCGGCAAGCTCTCCTCGTCATCCTTGCCAGGTAAACTGGACCAAAAGAAGCCTTTCCAATCGGGATCCTCGAATATGTAGGGTAACAGGCGGGTCAGCAAGCGGCAGCAGTTCAGGACAGTCTGATGCTCCCGTTGAGTCCTGCAGCTGCTGTCCACCGCCTTGACCAGCTTCTCGACCGCCTTGTAGCATAATGTGGCTAAATTGGAAGGCGCCTCCTCCCGCAGCACACGAATCTCCGGGGCCGGGATCAGGGTGAAGATGTCCTGAACGTTGGTCACGTTCTCGGACCAGAACTGATCCCAGAATATATCGTCCGATGCATCGATCACCTGTCGGCACGCATTACAGAAGTGAAGCTCGCATGGAACGTGGTACAATAATTCTTGAATATTTGTATGTTATTGAAATTTTGAAAAATACATTAATCTTCAGCGTTCACTATATGTGACACACAGGTCAAGGATCTGTAATAATTTAACAATCAATTACGAATAAAATATTTTAATATATTACAGTAAAATAAGGCATGTATTGATAAATATGCAGAAAGTTAAGATCAATCTTTGTTATTGCATGCTACAATTTTCACGATAGTTTATTATAGCAGTCGTTGCGCAATTCGACAAATCTGGGGACAGTGTTATCACGTTTAATCTCTTTATCAACAATATCAATTTTCACATATAGTAACGTGTTCGATTTATTTCTCCTTAATACAATATTACGAATATATAAAATAATTAAAAAATGCAGATCTCCTAGCTGGATTTTCATCACAGAGACTCATTGATTGTTAATTTCATCGAGAAAAATCGTATCGACCTATCAAACGATCATATGTTACCCGTCAGGTAAACAAGCGGCTGTCCGTACCTGAGTTTTCGACGTTAATTGCACCACGGCCTTCCGAAAGTTCAGCTTTGTGTCAGCATTGCCCATGACGTTTTTCGTTGTCACTGACAACAATTAGGATTCGTCACAGCCGAGTTGGAGTATAAACGCGTCGCTGCTCTTTAAAGTCTTTAAACGGACACCATCGTCGCCATGTTTGCAAATCGCATTTGTGACAGGCAGCGAGGCAGCGGCAGCAGGATGACAACTAAACAGAGCTGCCAACCGCGTTACTTTTCGCGCGAAATAGACGAATGGGAAAACGGGAAATTCGATCGATTCTCGTTGTTGAAATATCCGGGGAGAAAATCATAGGGTAAGAACCATATTATAAATATATTTTACGTCTTTTTCAACCATTCACAGAAATCCGATTTGATTTAATAGAATTATCATGTGAAGATCTATTACTTATTATTAGAAAAATTTATATTTTTTATTATATAAATTAAATTAATATTCATTAATATTTATATATTTTTTTCCACAACGTCTATATATTTCCAACATTTATGCAACGACCAAATCGCTAAAATAATTTAGAATATATATAACTTTGTATATCTTCTTAATTAAACTTTATAAAATACTATCGCTATAATAAAGTAAAAATATTAACAGCCCAGTAGTAAACGGGAAAGGATTAAAACGAGTTAAAATTTTTTAATTTATGGATTGAAATGGATTTGGCTTCTGTGGAAATAAATGCATTTCTATTTTTTCATTATACGAATATATAGTATTGGCACATTAATATAATATTTTTTCGATTTAGATGGATAGAAATAATGCATTTCCTAGTCACAATTTGTAATTAAATAACGGTAATAACTCAAAATATTTATTTGTTTGAATACCAGAATTTGTGTTCTATTTGATTTTATTTTATTTAAACTAGCATATAAAATTATAAATGAAATATAATTCGAAATATAATTTGAATATATATCTGGAAATCCTTATAAATAGAATTGTGTTCTGAAATTTTTATTATTCAAGCATCTACATAATAGTCCGGAAAAAGCGTAAAATATTTACCAAATGGCATTACAAGCTTCAAAAGAAATCGATATTCAAAAAAGTACTTTACACTCTAATATGTAATACTTTTTTTTATTATAACTATATTCTCGAACCTTGAATATTTGTTTTAAAATACGAATACTGATTTATGTACTTCTCGAAATTCGTTCACCTAGTAATCAAGAAGTTCGCGCAAGGTATCGGTGTTAGTGTCGTAATTCCAGGCAACGTCTTTCAATAAAGGTGTCAGAGGTCTACTCTGCTTTATAATCGGTACTTCAAATCCTTTATTATCTGCAAACGACAAATAAGTATGTCTCTCAATTTAATTAATCCGTACAATTGGCCCAAACTGTTCCAGTTGTATTATACCCAAGGAGAACAAAAAAGTCAAAATTATATTAATTTGACGTTAAATTGACCAAATTTACGTCATTTTTTACATCATGATTATAATCTAGATTTCAAATGACTAAAGAATAACTTTATATAGACTTTTTTTTATAGTGTCGATCTTTTTAATTTTTAGAAAAATGTGAACGTTTCTTGATTGTATATATATGGCAAGTATTTATTTTTAATTTCTTTATTTCAAATGCCATTTTGCATATACAAAAATAAGTCTTACAAGGAAAGGGACCCAAGTGTCCCCCTCCGATTTTGATGAGCTTTTTTACGCACTTTTAAGGAGTGAAACAATCCTTGGAAAAAAATCGGTTTTTTTATTTCAATGCGAATATTGTCGAAACTACGAGAAATAGAAAAAAATCTTTGAACTAAAGTTGAATGGCTTTAAGAGTACATACTTCATAATTATAATTTAAAATAATTTTTTTATTGTTAATTTTTTTGTTTACCCAGATCACCAAAAATTTTGTTTTAATATTTCGAATTTTTTTTACCAAAATTAAATTTTTACCAATTTTAAGACGAATTCAACCATGTGTGATAAAGTTATTTTTCGAAGTGTCATTTTTGAGAAATAATTATAAACTCTCTATACGCACACCATCCGTACTCTACTACGCTGCGCTCAATTCTTCACGCAGCACGTTCTGCTCGCATTTTTGCATTTAATAGAGGACAACGATTAAAGCAAATATATTCCGCAATATTCTGCGTATGTATAATT